CTGAAAGCCCTATACCAAACCATATGTTAGATTTTTTTATTTCTGTACATGACACAAGCCTATTCCTTTCTTATCATCAGGCTCATTGACCAACATCCATACCTATGCATTCTTATTTATCATTAATCATTTGATGAAAATGAAGAGATTGTGCCGAGAGTAACATTGAGTGACACCCCTCTTCCTCTGCTATTGAGAGCCCCTCTAGAGCCTGACTTTCTATTCCCGATGAAAATAATGGAATATCTCAGTCAAATCGTCAAATTTTCGTCACCAGGAGCCTTATTTTTGAATCGAGAGAACGATTCCCTCGGGGGAATGCTTGGTATAAAATATTTACAATGTCATTTTCCAATGCTTTTTTGGTGGATTATGAGAAGAGACGGAACAGAGTAGATGTTTCTCTTGCTATCTATCGAGAGAAGCAGCGGGGAACGAAATAATTTGTTACTAAAGTGAGGGGACACTGTTCTCTCGGCGGATTATAGTTCCTCGAGTCAAAAATATGGCCCAAGCGGGGTATCCAAACTTTGGATTCCAATTCCAAAAGAAACTTCTTATAAAAGTATAAGCCGGGGCCCATGGATATTATGATAGTGAAAAATTGTAATAATATTCAGAATGTCAAATTTCAACAACAATAAATCAAAATTAATATTCCTTATTCATTCTTTCACTACAGGAACAAGAAAAACCTTCAAAATCGAGAGATTTCAACTATTCAACTGAAAATCGGTAGGTTATAATCTATGATTCTCTCTCTGAATATCCGAATATCTGAACCGTCAGTAGGAAGAACATTCAGAAAATCAGGAGATCTCCCGATATATCGACCAGCGTTGCAGCAAAACAATATAATAATTATAATGGGTAGGTAAATAACCCAAATAAATCAATTTTTTCATGTTCAAAATTTATCTGAGTCTGAGAATATTCCTTTTCAAACCTCTCATGATTGTTGTTCTTATGAGTTGTCTTACACTCAATAATATTTGTATATCCCTCAACTTCCCCAACAAGAAGTTCTTTCTCCTTTGTGAAGTTTGAAAATAGTTTTTTCATTTTTTTCATCCATTGCGAGCACTGATAACATTCCATCAAACTGACAACCACAACACAAACAAATAATGATACCATGACTTCCGAATCTGTTTCTCCAGTAACTGATTAATTCAGATATAGCAACATTGCTAATTTTCATCAAATGGTCAATTAGTTCAAATATCTTTATGGAGTGATTATGAAATCATGAGACTTAGAAATTGCAATTAAATGGATCTTTAACTAAAAGGACCATTTTAAAAAAGAAGCTATTAGTATCCCATCTTAAAATCGGCCCTGAGTTCACAATTTTTCAAAGTCAAATCACAGAATTAGACTGACAGATGTTTGATAACTTCAAAAAAATGATGAAGATGCCTGCAAGAAGATGACTGCAACGGAGGTGTAATTCCTTTAGCTGACGGTTTTTTGGAGCTGAAATATACAACTTTTTCCCTTGTATAAAAAATTACTATTTTTTCATTTTAATGACTTTCCTTTTATATGGAGAAAAGTCATTATAATGAGAAAAAAGTCAATATACGGGAAAAAAAATTAAAAGAAGAATAGAGACTTCAAAATGAGAAAAAAGTCAATATAATGAGAAAAGAGTCATTATAAAGAGACAAAGGCATTATGATGAGAAAAATGTCATTATAATGAGAAGAAAGTCATTATAATGACTTTTCAATAAAGTAAAGTGTGCGTGACACCAGGGTGCTTTCGTACGTTTCTGCACAAAAAAGTGAGAATTCCTTCTCCAAGCAATCTAGCCTAACTTGGCCTGAATGAACCTTTTTCCTATACCGTATATTTTTCTAGAAAAATCACTTGAGAACAGAATGAAAAAAACAGCGACCCTCGCATAGATTCGCCAGAATGGCGTATGAACACACAACTCACTGTGCCATATAGTTGCTTGAAAATTGTTGTATACAGGGTGTCCGGAAATTATGCGCAAAAAATCAAGGGGGTGATTCTGTATGAGAAGACATCGGATTTATTTCATATATGCCCGATGCCAATGACCATTCAGCTAACATACTTGACTTATGCCTCACTAATAATTCAGCACCCTACACCATAGATGTACGAGCTCCACTTGGCAATTCTGAGCACACACTAATCTACACAACCTGCCCATTTTTCATTCCATCAACTGCTCCGGCACCCCCACGTCTTATATGGCATTACAATTTAGGAGATTGGGACGGTCTCCGCTTGTTTTTCTCCGAGTTTCCTTGGCATAGAGTATGCTTTGACTCTGAGGACCCTTCACAGTGTGAAATATCCGAGATAATCATGCTCGGAATGGACACATTTGGCACAAACATTATTCCTGCTTCATATCAATGATCTGTTGGGAGTAACAACTTGCCCCATCCACAGCTTTGCAGATGATAGTACCCTCCATACTGCGTTCACTTCCAGAATTCCCATTTCTTCCCAGGAACCTAAGAACTCACGGCGCAGGCAGGTCAATGCTGTCAATGAAGATCTTGCTGAAATCACAGCCTGGGGAACAAACAACCTAGTTGAATTCAACGCCACCAAAACTCAAGTCTGCATTTTCTTTAGAAAGGCGGACGTCAGTATGCGCGATATTGTAATGTCTGGCTCCACCATCCCCACCAAGCCCACCATATCTATGCTCGGTATTTACATCAGCAACACTCTTTCATGAAATAATCATGTCAGATCCATCGCAAAAGCTGCTTCACAAAAACTCGGATTCTTCCGTGCGAAAAGCTACTTTACACCTCAACAGCTTCTCATGATCTACAAAGCGCAGATACGGCCTGTTCTAGAATACTGTTCCCACATATGGGGTTCAGCACCAAAACATACGCTGATGCTCTTAGATTCCATCCAGAGAAGAGCCATTCGCCTGGTGGGTGACGTTACACTCACTCACTCTTTGACATCATTGGAACACCGTAGAAAGGTCGGCGACCTTTCACTTTTCTATCGATACTTCAACGGGAAATGTTCTTCATAAATCTCTTGCTATCATCCCTTCACTAGCAATACCAATTAGGCGAACTAGACAAGCCCAGTCAGCACAACCTTTCGTTGTCAACCTCGAAAGATGTCGAACAGCACTTTATCAAGACTCCTTCATCCATAGAACGGCTAGGCTCTGGAATTCATTGCCTGTGGAAGTATTCCCAACAACATATAATCTCCAAAAGTTAAAAAAAAATTCCCATACCTACCTCCTGACCCTATCCTCCCTAGGAACGCACGATGTTCTTTGAACATTATAGGGATTCCCTTTCGTGCGCTCCAAGCGATAAAAAAAAACATATACTCGGGTCCGGAAATGCACAGTTTACAGTGTGTTAAACTTTTTAGAAAAAATCGTTTTTTTATGAATATCTCAAATATTCTTTCACCGATTCTCTTGAAATTTGGCAATAATATTTTTTTTCATAAGGGGCCAATTTAGCCATAATTATATTGTAATTGTGAAATCCAGTGGCGTCCCGGGGGCACCCTACCGAATATTATTGTCAATAAAATGTGCGCCACTGATTTTTACGAATTCTTTATATTCATATCCTAATGATTATTAACTAAAAATACAACATTTTGGTCCCTTGAATTGTTTTGCTATTTTGCTGCGTTTCCGTGGAAAAAAATAAATACCAATTCATTGATGTGTAATTTGTGCAAAACATAGCTTCAAAAATAGGGGTGAAATTGAATGTGTGAACCATGTCCATAGACGTAGAATAAGAATGAAGATTAATTTTCTTCAAATATTCCATAATACATGTTTGACACCCTTTGTATTATCGAAAACTACGCCTTCCTGGACGGAGAATACATAGTTCTCAATATACAGACTGTAGAGTGTGTCAAACATGTATCAAGAAATATTTGAAGAAAATGAATCTTTATACTCATTCTATGTCTATGGACATTGATCACGCATTTATTTTCAAGGAATTTTTTGGCACAAATTTATACAATAAATTAGTATTTATTTTTTTCCATGGAAATGAAGCAAATTATCAAAACAATTCAGGAGACCAAAATGTTGTATTTTCGATTGGTCAATAGTTTATGAAGATAAAGAATTCAAAAAAATCAGTGGCGCACATTTTATTGACAATAATATTCGGTAGGTTACCCCCGGGACGCCACTGGATTTCATAATTCCGATTGAATTATGGCTACATCAGCCCCCCATGACGGAAAATATCCTTGCCAAATTTGAAGAACATCGGTGAAAGGACATTTGAGATATTCATAAAAAACCGATCTTTTTTAATAGTCTTAACACACTGTATGTTGAAAACTATGCATTTCCGGACCCACGTACATATGAAATAAAATTCTTATTTTATCATGTAGAATCACCCCCTTGATTTTTTGCGCATAATTTCCGGACACCCTGTATAAGAAGAAGGGGTTCAGTTAGTATGCGCGTCGAGGTAGAGCCGTCGACACAAGACACAAGCTATTCTTTGACACAAGCACTACAAGCAGTTCCCGGCACAGAGAGATCATAGCGAGACGAGACCCTAAAGGTTTCGAACCATTCCCAAACCTCATTCACAGTGAATCACGTTGTACATTGTGGACGCTTGCGCATTCGCTCGTAAAAAACTTGCAATTATTAACGAGACACTCCGGGTCTCAAAAGAAAGGAAATACATATTTGAAAGCCTAAATTACCAAACAAATGATAACAACGGGATGACGCCATGCTGTTTGTTAACCAGAATAAGACACCATGACCGAACGCAGCCTTGAAACAGGAATCTCAACATATCACGTGATGGGAATTGTTCGAAAGATTTAGGAACTTCTAAGTGGCTTTATTTGTTGCGTCCTGTCTCTGGACCCTTCTAAGTTGAATGTCACAATGATGGAAGTATATCTTACTTGATGTCACTAATGTCACCGGTGTGACAGTGTTAGTCCGTCAGACGTCAACGCCGTCAACCGTCAGTCGACACTCGATAGTCGTAAACATGATGTGGCACATCGTAAAACAGCCACGATAATTTAAGTTTTTCGTTATTTTGCCGATGTTTTCGGCAAGAAATAACTATGTAATGTTAAAAATCGCCCGATAACTAATCGTATACCGTATCGTAAACACGGTAATAGTACAAAATCGCGAAAAGAATTGTTGCGGAAATACGAGTTTTAACGACCAAATAAAGTACCCATCGTATCGTTTATCAATCGGATTTACTAAAAGGCTGTGTTAAACATCGTAGAATATAAACGGTAAGGATCTTATCAATAGGCAGATACCTATTATATCGAGGCAAGCAATCAAGCATCTGAATAAAATAATGAAAACATGATTGTTTACTTTGACACGACACAAATCGGGAAGGGAAACCCACTTGTCGATTGTAATGTTACACAGTCATAACAAAACATTGGCGCGGCTTGAATTCAAGGGTAATAAATAATCGTACTACCGACGTAACTCCTTGTCTGTCCAGGTACCTCATAGTACATGGTATATCACAAATGATCACAGATGTAATCAAAACAAAATTACTCTACAAAAAATACCTGATAAAATATATCACTCATTCCATCAGTTAGCACTCCTTATGATGAATAATGGTGAATTCCTAGGGAATAACTTCCACTTTTCAAAATTGTCTAGCTCATGATCAATTTTCGGATTATCATTCAGACATTTTCAAGTAGGTAGAAATAGAAATAACTGAGTAAACAAGATTTTTGCACTTCCAGAACTGATGTTCTCATGTCCTTTAGTCCCTTCAAACTTTGCAAACAGGGACTGAGGTGACACTTTTGATGCATATGGACTAGTTTATCATAGGTAAGTAGCTGTATTTTTTTGCCCTCTAAGGAATAATGTGTCCTCAATTTCCTTCAAGTAATGATGGAAGTAACCATTGAATGAATGATAATTTTCTGACAGCCGTTTTGGCATAATCAATTGAAATTCATCTATTATCTAATTGGTATTTAATAACTATTTTTCTGTGACGGGAAAAAAGTTTGGCATTTTATCTCTGTTAGCAGGTTATAAAATGTCACTCCATAAATTACCTTTTTTCCCTTGGGAAAAAAGTGAGTACTTTTTTCCCCAGATATATATCACATATATATACCACATATACATACACTGTTGATGGCTTTTGTTGTGCTATACTTCCGAAAAATGAGGCAATATTACCAATACTGTCTCCAAGAGAGAACTGCAAGTCCTTTTATCTTCCATTCCAGTTCGCAATTAGGTATACTACTAAACAACCACTAAATTCGCAATTTTTTGAAATCAAATCACAGAATTAGACTGACAGAAGTGACATCAGATATTTGATTACTTCAAAAGAATGATAAAGATGCCTACAACACAGGTGTCCCTACTGTAAAAAACTTAAAATTTCATGTACATAATTTTCAGATTTCAAAATAATGTAATATCTTCTCAATATTGATTCGTCCTTTCTTCTGTCAGAAAAAAATAGTGTATTATACATGGGAAAAATATTAGATTTTAGCTCACGGTTTTTTGTCTCCCAACACGTAGCACACAACCTGGAGCTAAAATCTACAACTTTTTTCCCTTGTATAATAAATAACTAATAATCAATTATTTTTCATCACCAACCTGAATCTTACAACTCAACCAGAGCAAGCAAAAATAGTGTTGGGCTATATTAACCTGAAGCTAGCACAACTGTTTCACAACTTTTCACCCAAAAAAGTTATGGAGATGAATCAATAACTCATATTTTCAACATTCCAACAACATTGGCATAGTATCAGTAATTTGAATTTGAACAAATCTGAATGTTTTACTAGGGTTAGGTTAGGTCAAATAGGTATTCATGCAAAAATTCATGAACATTTCTACTTGTAATTCTCCAAGTAATTCTCAATGGTATCTTTTTAGCAGCATCCAACAAATTATATTGTTAAGAGGATGTGAATTCAGATCTTATATTTTTCAAAAATAGTACTATTGTCTCTACTGTTGTGATTAGCCTGTGTTTTCATGGAGCTACTATAAGTTAACTCCAGCACAATCAGTTAAAATTGAAAGGATGTGAATTAAATTGATATATTTCTCAAAAATAGTACAGCTGTGATGGGAAATATTCAGAAGAGAAATTATATTATCTGAATTTACATTCTTCCAATTTTAACGAATTGGGATGGAGTTATAGATATTACATTACATTCATATATTGAACCATTATGAATACTTGTCAAAATAAGACCACAATGTAATTGATCAAATGCATGAAAATGGTTTTTATTTTTTTGGGCGAAAACGGTAAGTCGAACGGAAGAAATACAGAGTCAAATCATTGTAATATAAATGAGGGTTTCAAAAACGATTTCTATTTTCCGAAAAAGCAAGGGTGAACAATATTTTTTATGAAAAATCTCCAGTATACATCCCATATAGACGCCACTGGTAGAAATTTTAAAAATTAATGCACGTCAAATTTTATGAGAATATCTAGAACAGTACTGAAGTTATGATTGAACGATATTTTTAAACACCCTATAGCTGGAAAGTTAAGAGGTTTAGGGCATATGTTCAAATACATTTTTCTTCTTAATATGAGCCAAGGAACTATATCCTATATTTCTAGCCATCAATTGAATTACACCCTGTATATAATCTGAATTTACAGAGTTGCAAAAAATCATTTTTGAAAAAAAAAATGTTTCTGAACGTGAACCTATAGGGTTGTCATAAAAATATGTTCATGACTATAATAAATAATAATTTAAAAAAAATGAATTTTTTTCAATTTCACCAACATGCTTGCCAAATGAATGAAATTCCAATGGAAAGCATATATAGAATGTGGAACAGCTAGGTTGCCTATATTTTTCTGGTCTCTATTACCTGGTTGTAATGTACAAACAGGCAAGTTGATAGTATTAATTGCACTGATATGCTTACCTCTTGTGAAATATATCAAAATGAAGGAAACGTTATAACAAATGCAGTAGTATAGGGTTGCCTTGCAAAATCTGTTCATGAATAAGGGTTGCCAGGCTTTGAAATTGAAAAATCGGAACAAGCAATGAAGTATGACGAGAATAATTGCGGGTACTATTTGATGCAATAGAGGGGGACGCAGTACACTAGTACACTAGCTGTGCACGACAGAGCAGAAAAATTTAAGAGAGGGCGCATGCTTTCTACTCATAGTATAAAAATGGATGAAACCAAATGCATTAGAAGAACATTTGGGAGCAAACAGTATGTTTGTAAACATGTGTTCTGTCAAGTTGAGCAAATCAATAAGTGATTCTGTGCTGGATTTCAATGAAAACATTTTTAAAAACTCATTCAAAAGTACTACTTTACACTTTACAAAAAATCGAAAAACTTTGAATAAATCAAGATACAGCCAAAAAAAAACGTCCTTAAAACAGAGAGAAAAAGAAAACATTGTTTGAAAACTACATTTATTAATATATGTTTTGTATGAACTTCATAAAAACACCTGCAGATCCTAAAATGGAAAATGAGAATAATGAAAATATGATAATAATAATAATTAAATAAAGAAAATTTGACTAAAATTGAAAACTACCTTTAAATATTCAATTACATCTATCTATGATGAAAATAATGCTTCATTATTTTTTACAATTTCTGATCGATTTCTACGGACGCTGTATATGGCTATAGGTGAAGTATAGTACTTAAAGCATGTTGTGAAACAATCATCCAGTCATGGAATTACGCACTCGCCGCTATATATGCGGATGCGTGCCTAATTTTCCATGCGTAATATGCTTCTTACAACACTCATTTCGTTATATACTATTTTTGATTCCCTGTATGTATGTGTTCAAGTTGGAATATATGCCTCATACTTTCATTGCTGTTCACGATTGGACTCATTATATCAGTATGCTATCTACACCAGGTTATTAGATTATGACAGTTTATCTTTTGATCATAGTGATCATAGTCATATCATAGTGGTAAACTGTTTCAATCTGTGATTTCCTTTGATTGTTATAAACTTCTCTTTCGTCTGTTCTGGACCTTGTGCTGAAGTAAAATGCCGCCTTACTGGCATTATTGTATTATAGGATGTTGGTCTCCACTCGACAAGGATAAAGTGGGGTTTTCGGTACCCTAGTAAACATGACTTATCCAGGAAAAGAAGAGAGGAATGGTCATTTGCAATCAAACGAGAATACCTTACTGATTCAAAGATAAAGTATCAGAGTCTGTAGCAGACATTTTATAAAAGGTGTAAGTCCTTCAAAGGTAGATTATGTAGAAATCCGACAGGAATCATAAGATTGAAGTCTTGAGAACATTAATCATCTCTCCCAGCTGAATTGCTTGAATTTGAACAAAGGTATGCTCAACTGATTTGGTAATGATCAACGTATGATAGTGTTTAGGGTGAATATAAGAAAAATTACAAATTGGGAAGTTATTAACGAAAAAAAAAATTTTAACTGAAATATGTCTTAGGAGGCCATGTTATGGTATTTAGGCATAACTTTTAATTGTTGACAACTTTTCCCTATAACATTTTGCTGAATTTTCTGAAAGAAGGCTACTTTACTCCTCAGCTATTTTCATATTTATCGACCTACCCTGTATGCTTTTTGACTTGCAACCATTCTAAGTGCACCTAAAATGATTACTGAACACACGGCTAGGAGCACATTACTTTTTTCGGTCGACCACAAACACTTATATTCACATAACGGTCATATTCACACGTGAAATCTATCGGATTTCGTGAATAATTGATTTGACAACACCAAATGACAGTTGTTGTCAACTCTCTCACCGCGCGGACCAGGGTTGCCAGTTCTATTTTGATTCCATCAGTAAATACCTTGTCAAAAATTCAGTAGGTTTCAATAGGTCTGTTTAAGATCTATTTTATGCTATACGAATTCCAAGAAAAAAAAATTGTTACATAGGTACTTATAAGATTTTAGTTAAGATCTATTTTATGCTATACGAATTCCAAGAAGAAAAATTTGAGAAACAAATTGTTATATCAGAAGTATATAAAAAAATTGAATTTGATCTGAATCAGATAAAGTATTGTCCTTCTTTGGTTCATACATATCATTAGTACCTATAAGTAAATTTAATACTTATTTTGTGAAATGAATAATAGAGCATGCTGAAATATCATGCAATTTATCAGTATATGTGATTAACTGAAGATTAATAATATTATAGGTAATTATAATAATGAATAAGTGTCAACAAATGTTCAGTAGGTTAT